GAATTCGCATCGACTCCGGGGAAAGGTGGAGGGAAAATGGCTAAGTCCTAAGTACATGTCCCATGGCGGTACATGTTCAATAGCTGTGAGAGCTACATTGCATTGCGCGCTATACAATAGCGTACTGTATAATGTGCTGCACACTTCTACGTGTGTTTAAGACTTCGTGGTAAAGCTTCGCGCTGTGTGAGGGCACACAGGATCGCTGCAAGCATTACGCTGTGCACGGAGTGGAATGGATTGGTTGGGAAAGAAGTAAACTACGCAATTTGCGGGAACGCAACAATATCATTGCTTCAAGACTCTTGGAAATTCATTGAATATCAGGAATAAAAGGTTTGCTTAAAATTCATTGGGCAGCCATAATTAAAAAAGTTCTTTAAAACTGGCATTTGGTTAATAAGATATTAGTTTTTTTCTGAAAATCACTGGCATCAGTGATAAACAATCTTGTTTGAAATTCATTGAACAATAAATTAACAATCTGGTCTACGATAAATTGTAAAATTAGCCATAATTTTGGAAATTCATTGAGTAACGGGAATAAAAGGTTAATTGCCTGTAATACATTGGGCAGCCATAATAAAACAAACTTCTTTAAAGTTTTCATTTGGTAAATAAGATATTAGTCTTTCTGAAATTCTTTGGCATCATTAATAAACAATCTTGCTTGAAGTTCATTGAACAGTAATTAACAATCTGGCCTCAGATAACTTGAAAAATTAGCCATAATTGTGTAAATTCATTGAGTAATAGGAATAAAAGGGTTGCTTAAGATTCACTGGGCAGCCATAATAAAACAAGTTCTTTAAAACTGTCATTGGGTTAATAAGATATTAGTCTTTCTGAAATTCATTGGCATCATTAATAAACAATCTTGCTTGAAGTTTATTGAACAGTAATTAACAATCTTGCCCTAGATAAATTGTAAAATAATCCATAATAACCACTAATAATAATCAACTATTTTTCTGAGCAATAACAGTGGAATACCGATAGCAGCTAATACAACATCCTGCTTACCAGGAGGAAGCTTTTATGTCCCGAGTCTTTGTGTTCTTTGATTTCCACTCCTGATAATACATTGCAAGGTGCCTGCTATAAAAAGGCAATTTGTAAACACCCAAGGGCCTCCCTAACCTGTATATGAAGATGCACTGCTGATTGTTACACCAATTAGTCGTTAGCCATCAGAAGATATATCAAATTAATATCCCATAACCTCACTTAACAATCTTTTGATTTTCCAAAATTTCCAAAGGTCCAAAATTTTGGCAAATTATGGAAGCAACAAAGCCAAAGAATAAAATATTATAAAACATTTACAACTCCCAAGCAATGCCATTGTGGCATCAATTCGTTGTTCGTGTAACGTGGAAAAATGACTCACTAAGAAAAACACCTGGTTCCAATGATTATGTCGCGATTTAGCTTTTTAAACTGGGACAAAAAAAGAAAAGAAAGAAAAGGAATCAAGGTTTGGGACATCAGTCCTCTGCCATACTGATCATGCAGGGTGTTGCGCAGAGCCAGGATCGCATTCGTTCCGAGGAGAAGGGGGATGTTGCGTCGAAAGGGGGTGTCTGGCACTACCAGGGCAGGGACGTTATTTACCTTTTGTCCCAGGGCGTCAATACTAAGCAGGATGTATCCCTTGTGGGGGACTCTCTGACCTCCAGCACCTTTGATTAAGATATCTGGTGGTCACTTGGGAACCCGTGTCCACGAGAGCCTGACAGCATTTGCCTGAAACTACCACTTCGGTGGTGCTGACTGGACTGGCGATATGCATTGGCCCCTCCTTTTGCTGAGATTCCTGGCAAGCTTGGGTAGAAACCATTCCTGTGCTCCTCTCATCTCTTGATCCAGTAGGGCTTTTATTTACAGAGTTACCTGCCGATTGCCCGGCATCCGCAGGTCGGGCTAGTTTAAAGGCTGCTGTCCTTGTCGGGGTACTCTACATTGCCGTGCGAAATGACCTACTTCCCCGCAGTTGTAGCATCTCCTTTCTGGCCTTGAGGCAGGGGCACGAACAGGAAGATTCGGTTGTCGGGGGCTCTGCATCGACTGTCCTTGATTGATGAAGCCCTCAAGGTGTTGGATTCGCTGTCCCATCCATCGTTGGCCTTCGATGACTTGGTCTAGGGTAGTAAGCTGCCTCTGTACTAGAGCTGTCAGTTCCCCAAGCTGATCCGTAACATCTGTGGTGGACTGCTGATTCATCTGGGCAGGCCCTGCTTTTGTATTCCCCTCTCTGGTCAACGGTGTAGTGACGTCCGCAACTGGCGCCCCAGTATTCTGCTGGTGGGTCTCATACCAGTGACGCCTCGACTCACGTGCTAAGCGGAACTCTTCGCTGATGATGCGGAGCTCCTTACGAAGCAGCTTAAAGCTCATGTCACGGGGTTTCATCGGTGCCAAGCGTTGTCTGACTGCATTGTCGTGGAGGCCCACCATGAACTGTGTAGTGAGAAGATCATCCCTGTCGTCCTCAAAGGAAACGTTTCTCCCCTGCCGCCTCTGCAGTTCCTCGACGTGTCTAAGCAGTGCCTCAAGTGCGATAGCATATTCGATGGCAGTTTCTTCGGGCCGCTGTTTTCTGGCAAAGAAGGTGGCGATGGGCGTTGTCGACATGTTGCCCTCTCCAAATTCATCCAGCAGCTCGGTGATGGCCTCTTCGGCAGTTACTGTTCCCCGACTCGAGAGATTTAGGACGACATCCCGCGCTTCTCCTTTGGTGTGCCGAACTACCTCGTTAAACCGAATGCTCTCCGGTTGAGGTCCCTTAGCTTCAAGTAGGAATCTGATGTCCCTCGCCCAGTCCTCGACCTTGAGTCCATGCTTCTTTGAACCATACCCACTGAAGGTCTGCACATCCTTCATCTGGTGGGCAGTGTACATGCGAGGTGCTGGTTGGGGATGCGGAGTTGTCTGTGATGGCGGGTCAAAGTCTGCCAGATGAAGAGGATTTTGCTGGGCTGTTGTCATCTGGTAGTGGGGACTGGTCATCAATGGTGAGGCTTGAGGTTGAGGGGGGCCCGGTTGTGGATGTGGGGTGCCCATTGCACCATAGAAGGTGAGGTTTGGCAGTGATGATGGTGATTCAGCCATTCTGTACTCCTTGAGTTCATTTACCAAAAGCACTGTGTGGGTTTCGATTTAAAAAAAATTTCAAAGAAAAAAAAAATGTCCCAGCTAAAAAACAAAAATGGCTAAATTCCTAAAGAAAATTAATCATCCCGGGTTCCGGCACCAAAAATGTAACGTAGAAAAATGGATCACTAGAGAAAAACACCTGGTTCCAATAATTATGTCGCGATTTAGCTTTTTAAACTGGGACAAAAAAAGAAAAGAAAGAAAAGGAATCAAGGAAACAAAAATAGACTTCTCACAAAATTTAATTTAATATCAAAACAATCTTCCAACAAAAAAAAAAAAACAATTTCGATCCTTAAGCGCAAAAAACTAGTTTCCAGAAATACTTCAATGCAAAAAATCTCAATCAGGATCAACAACGAATAAAACACTCAAAAGAATTTGCCAGGGATAAAAAAAATAAACAATTTGATAAAATTTAGGGATGATTACAAAAAAACTAAGTTAAAATAATAAAACCCAAAGAAGAAAAAAAGGAGGAAACCCACACAGCACTAAAGGAACTGACTCTAAAAGCACAGGAATGAACTAAAAACCTGTAACAAGAAAATACAAACAAATGGCAATTTAAAAACAGTTCTTATAAAACAAAACTCCTATGAAACTACAGTCCATGTACTAAAGTATGCTCTAAGCAACAAAAGGGTCCAAATGCAAGTTTGCCACTGTGTGCACAAGGGATTAACGCACTATGGACTGCAAGATACTGCACAGTTCAATGGGCCTCATAATGACATGCAAATCCTCTGGACTGTCTCAATAAACTATTACTTCTAGGAAGGAGGGAACAAAGGATTAAGGCATGGTCTAGGCTAAATGAATACAGGTCTATGTACATGAAGTCAAAAAGAGCAACTAAAAAACCTAGAATAATATGAAAATCAACTCAAAATGCAAGAAAAAGGAACTTAAACTCTGAGGATATTATACACATGAAACTTAAATGCAGGTAATCCTAGACTCAAGCAATTAAAACCTGGGCAAACTTATATTACACAACTTATTAGAAAATCACACATTTTCAATACTTTCCAAGAAAAGGACTTCTCAAATGTCTAGAAATGAGCCAAAAGAATAATCAAGTTGGAATAAAAACTTAAAACAGTAATCAAAAGTTTTCAAAGTTTCTAAACAAAATGGCTAGTTAAAACGACTTCTAAGAAAAGAGCGGAGACACAAACGATTTCATGTATAGGAAAAAAACTCAATCTTAAAAGGAGCTAAAATGATACTGAACTGGATAATATGAGTATCATAAAGGCAAATATAAAACTGGAATTATACAATAATAAGAAAAGTAATGAAACTCATAAAACTTACCAAAATGGGAGCAGACACTTGTGATCGGGATGAAAATGTACACTAAAGCTTGAGTAGGGCTTATATGTCTTGCCTGTGTGATGCTGGTCTGCTGAATGAGCCTCTAGGTCAATGAACTAAAGCTACACAGGAAGTTGGGGCCAGAATAAACAATGGGGGGAAGGGGGAGGCCACTACTTAACTAAACACGGGAGAAGAGGGGGTGTACTCCTATAAAAAGACGGGTAGCAGATCTGAAACTAGGGAAAAACTTTAAGTTATTTTCTGCTCCTTTACACTCGCACAATTTCTTTTAAATCAAACTACCAAACAAGTTTCAAGACAATCAGACTTTGTTGTAAAGAAGTTTTTTTGCTGATGTCATAATGCATGTTTCAACACCTGATGCCATATGTCTATAAACCAGCACACTATTTACATGATTAAAAAGCTCTTTTTGCAATGTTTAATCCCCGATCCCCATGAATCATATGACAGTGTTACCCACTCGGTGCATCTACCCAATCCATAATGTTACCATTTGTTCATGCATGTACTGCACCATCCCTTTGAAGAAATGGGGAAATGGGTTGGGTTGATGCGATGGGATGATGGGCTGAGATGGTGAGGATGAGGGGTGGGGTGGGTGGGGTGAGGTAGATGGATAGGATAATGGGGTGGGAAAGAAGGGTAGGATGAGATGGTGGGATGGATGGGGTTGGGTAGATGGGGAGGATAGTGGGGTGGGAAAGAAGGGTAGGAGGAGGTGGTGGGATGGATGGGGTAGGGTAGATGGGGAGGATAATGGGGTGGGAAAGAAGGGTAGGATAAGGTGGTGGGATGGATGGGGTAGGGTAGATGGGGAGGATAGTGGGGTGGGAAAGAAGGTTAGGATGAGATGGTGGGATGGATGGGGAGGATACTGGGGTGGGAAAGAAGGGTAGGATAAGGTGGTGGGATGGATTGGGAGGATACTGGGGTGGAAAAGAAGGGTGGGATGAGGTGGTGGGATGGATGGGGTAGGGTAGATGGGGAGGATAATGGGGTGGGAAAGAAGGGTAGGATAAGGTGGTGGGATGGTTGGGTAGATGGGGAGGATAATGGGATGGGAAAGAAGGGTAGGATGAGGTGGTGGGGTATATGGGTAGGATGATGGAGTGGGTTTGAAGGGTGGATGGGGTGGGGTAATGGGCAGGATAATTGAGTGGGTATGAAGGGTAGGATGTTGGGGTGGGGTAATGGGCAGGATGATGGGTAGGGTTTGAAGGGTAGGATGATGGGGGTGGGGTGGACGGGCTGGGGTAGATGGGCATGACGATGGGGTGGGTTTGAAGGGTAGGATGATGGGCAGGGTGGATGGGGTGGGGTATTGGGCAGGATAATGGGTTTGGGAAGAAGGGTAGGATAACGGGGTGGTATAGATGGGTGGGGTAAATGGGTGGTTTGGTGGGCAGGGTGGATTGGGTGGGGTAAATGGGCATGATGATTGGGGTTGGGTTGAAGGATAGGATGATGAGGTGGCGTGGATGTGGTGGGGAGATGGGCAGGATGGCTGGGTGGAGATGATGGGTTGGGATAGATGGGGTGGTGGGTTACCCTACCCCATCCATCCCACCACCTTATCCTACCCTTCTTTCCCACCCCACTATCCTCCCCATCTACCCAACCCCATCCATCCCACCATCTCATCCTACCCTTCTTTCCCACCCCATTATCCTATCCATCTTCCTCACCCCATCCACCCCACCCCTCATCCTCACCATCTCAGCCCATCATCCCATCGCATCAACCCAACCGATTTCCCTGTTCCTTCAAAGGGATGGTGCAGTACATGCATGAACTTTGTGTAAGCTTGCAAGAACAAGAGCCAGTGTGCTGTAAGATTGCAAATCCATCTACTGCATGTCTGTAGTTTAATTCAGCAGTATCTGCCAGGCATCTCCTCGCTCTACTTGCAAGTACTCCATTGTTAGTTGTAGGTAGGCCTCCTGGAGCAGTACTATGCTGATGTACTCGATGTTCTTAATACGAGAAAATTAGAGGGAGAATGGGGAGAGAAAAAAACATTTACTTCATAATCATTACTAATATTTGTTGTTGAAGATACTTACATGTAATGCTTTGATCAATTCAAGCTACCAGCAACATCTACCCAAAATTACACATAGTTTGGACTCATTTTAAAATACTGACTTACATTGGGGTCACTATCAGCAAAGTTCTTCACCAGGTCTTCAAAGACCACTTCCGAGCTAGCCTCAGAAAGCTGTCCGTACATGGCGCAGGGTATTTTGCCTTCAAGATAAGACAGAAAATTGTGTTTAAAGTTGTGGTCATGCCACAATTTTGCAAAATTGCTTTTGCATCCGGCTACAGCTTTGATAGTATGTTTCAATTGTGTATCCAGATATTAATGTTAAACAAAAACACATAAAACATACAAAGATCATGTGAAATAAGAGATATGGAAAAAGGGGAAAATCAGAAAGAGATGCTGCAGTACAAACAAACAAGCCAAAAAAAGACATGGGCGATCAGTACAAGAAGAACTCAAATACATAGATTATCAGCTCATAAGTAGGAGATAAACTTGGTATAATAAAACCGTCAGAATTTAAAAATGTTGAAAAGCATTTAGTGTGTCAAGGGGAATGGAAGGATCTCTGGGATTCAGAACAAAAGAAAGTTGGCTGTGTGTTGTTCTTTCCTTGGGGAGAATGTGTTGAAGTTCTCGATGAACTAGTATCAAACTGCCCCTCATTTTGTTTAGTACCTGTGGGAGCAGAGCAAAGGGCTTGAACTTGATCACACATTTCAATCCTTTTCAAAGTCCTGGCTTAACTAATTCTTTATAGTTAGACATGTGATACAGCAATCAAAGTGCAACAACATAAAAAGCCCAAAAGAGATAGATCGATACATACCTCTTGATTTTCCTGCTTGTTTATGTAGGCTGTGGTTCTTGTGTGGAATCTGTTAGAGAAGAAAGTAGGTTGCAAGAAAATAATAAATAATGAAATAAAAATAAAAAACAATGAAAATAAAACCAAAAAAAGTGATTAGTAAATTAATTCAATGTAAATTTTAACTTATAGGCGACCCGCTCCTGATTCAAATTAGGAAGCAGGTGAAAAGCCTTTATGAATTTGTAAATAATATCAACGCATTTTGAGTGTACATATGCTGGCACAGTGTCAAAACTCAAAAGACTGGTAACTATTGCATACCTGGGTTTGGACAAGTCCAAAAATGTTAAGCTGGCACATCACAAGATATGAATAATAACTGGGATTTCACTCAGCACATGTTGAGCTATTGCAGCTTTAGCGCAATACCTCTTGTTAAACTGCATAAAGGCCTGCAATTGTGAACAAGCAACTTTATCTGGCGCCGGATCATATTCTTTCAAGACTTGTTCAAATCAGAAATTCAATACTTTTAAAAAGCATGGATACAACTTTAGCATGCATATTAGATTACAGCAGTTGTAATGCCTCCACAGAAGTAGATCGAAAGTTTCAGAAACCTTCAGAATATTGATCTGCACACCCATAAAGAAAAAAAAAAATTCTATACAGATCCCAACACAGCTTGCCTCCATAAACTGACATCTAGACTAGACTCCGTTGAGGAAAACAACTATACAGTCATATAATGGCACAAATGTTAAGCCACTTTTTTGCCGGTCTTATGGTCGTGATAGTGTTCAAAGCTAACCTGTCCACTGACAATGTCCTCAAAATGTTGCCTTTTCTTCCTCAGTATTTCCAAGATTTCTTTTTTGGCTATGTTGCTCAAGCACCTAGTTTTAAACAGAACAAAATTTTTCTGCAAACTAACTCACTCTTCAAACATGTAAAGATATGACTTCTATGCAAGCAGGGACATGCATTTAATTTACAAATACATGTATGTTGTTTGAAAACAGCAAGTTGCCGTAATTTCATTCTGTAGTGGTCTGCGATACAGTTCATAATGGATTGTTTCCTTGGAAGTTAAATATAAAAAAGTTAATGTAATGAGCATTTGAACATAGTCTGTAATGCAGAAAGTATTTTTTTTGTTATTATCATTAGTGACTTCAAAGATGTGGAGATCAAAGTAAACGTCAAAAATTAATGCCCTTGGTGTAGGATTTCCTTCAGAATTGCTAAATCCTGCCCAATCATAGTTGAACTTCTCTGTTTTAGGGGATGACCAGGAGTATCAGGGCATACGGAAAACGACATCTTACCTTGTGTTTGTTCAAGTCGTGACAATGCCTGTTGGTGAGAGCAAACAAAGACGAATTTAACTGTTTTCAAAACACAGATCTAAACAGAATCATGTCTCCATTACAATTACTTCCCTGAAACTTTTTTGTCCCATTCTTTGACTTTAAAAAAAAAAAAATTCCACATTACACAAACGTGATGGCAGTGCCATGTGCATGTTGAATGCTGAGACAAAGCTGTAGGGGGAGGGGTAAGAAAACCTCAAAGAATAGAAATATTAAGAAAATATTGCAAATATTACTCCCTCCAACTGTAACGTCTCCCTCTCCCCCACCCCTGATATGAAGTATCACACTTTACATTAATAAGAGCGAATTGAAAAAGAAAGTATTACCTTTTAGAAGGTGTAGGCATAATTATTACAATGAATGGGAAAACTGGTGAAAAATGCTGGAAATAACACTACCAAATTACCGACATGAATCCATTACTCGCTATTGCGGTATTGAATTATATTACATGAAGCACGTTCCCATGCCACAGCTTACTACTGGAAACAAGGTTGGAAATAAAGTAAGCCCTGGGAATGATGTTGATGCATTGTTAATAATAAAACATTAAACTGGGTGATGTTTCTCGACAGTACTTGATTTTATTCCCTTTTAACCCCCCCCCCCCCAAAAAAAAGTGCCCTGGCTATTAACGCTGGCTGAAGAGTTCACTTCAAAAAGTAAATATCTCACATGCTCACATTTTGAGAAAGCAGCTTTAAATATGCATACAGCCATTTATTATGCACTGCTCAGTTCATTTTAAATTCATCGTAAATCATTCAGGAAACAAATTTTGTTGGATCAACAGTCTGTGTTTCACGAACAGTTTTGCTTTTGTTTTTGCAAAGTAATCTTGTTCAACATTATGACACTACAAAATAATACCATTGTTTTTTGTTGCAGTGTGCCGCAGCTTGTCTGCAATCATCTTTTTGCTGCAACCTGCTGGCAGTGAGATGCCAGATGTTTGTTTGCCATCTTTGTGGCCTTGTTGCATGCAGCAGTATTATGGCAGATATTTTTGTGCTGAATTATTTTACACATCTCAGTGTAAAAGCCACCCTTGGTATACTGTTTTTTGTATCATTGACAAGGACTAAGAAATAAGCCACTTCAGAGTTTTGCTGGTGCATACACAAAATCACCATAGCCGTGTTAATTTAGGTATAAACCAACACAACACATTACACGGTCCTCGTTCAACTGACTGGAAGTTTACAGTAGCATTTGGTTCTTTTATCTCCAAATAACCATGGTTAGGGCATGCATGAGCGAAACCCCGAAGTGACTTAATGAAGTCCAAAAAAAAAAAAAATCTTTAAGGCAGTCTTTCAATTGCTCCCATACCCGATTTTAGTCTGCAGTAGTAATCCCCCCCCCAAAAAAAAGATACCAAAAAACAAAAAACACCCGCCCCACCACCACAAAAACAGATTGCTCGAAAAGGAATGAAATTGGCACAAAATTACACATTTGGCTTCAATGCAGTTGACCGTTACACATAAATGTTTACCTGACAGACATTTTGATCCTGTTGGGTGTACTGTTCTGGTGGTGACGAGTTCTGGATAAAAATGTACAGTGAAATTAAACAGAACAGAAATGAAAAGCAGTCTTTCTTTGCATGGCCATGATGAAAATTTACTGAATAGTACATAAAGACTTTCCTGACCTCCCTCACTTAAAAGTGGCTCTTGATGACTCTTAACGAAGTAATTTAACGAAGCGCTGGGACGCGTCGCAACTCGAGTTGCAACGCATAACACATCGCAACTTGCAACGTGTCATATAATCCATTTCACAAAGTTACGTTATGTCCAACGCATTCTAAGTTCTTGACAATGGTTTAAAACTTGTTGCACGTTACGACGTGTCTTTTGGTTGTCGCAAAATAAGAAGCATCTTTTCTCAGTCAATTTTATGTCATAACAATTACAGAAACGAGACATATAACAACATAATTGAAGCTTTAAATGAAGTATGCATCAAGGAAAATACGAATTGGTCAAGAATATTGGCCAAGTAAAACTTTCAAAGTACAGCTGACAGTTCACCAACAGCTTGTTTTCCTTTAAAGCTGCATATCATACGTCCACCATTTTGTTTTGTGTTTAAAAACCTTTCGAGATAAAAACCGACGACTCTTTGCTGAATGTCAGACGACTATTTACTGTGTGTTCCGCGAATACATATAAACAGTCGTCGGATTGTGCT